GAGGCTTTAAAAAGTAGCAGTCAATCTGGCCAGCTGGTGGTATGGTGGTTAAGGTGGGTAGAACCCACATGGCTGATGGCACAGTTTGAGTCTCAGACCCTGCGGGTTAAAAAACACCAGGCACATGTGCATGGATGCCCCAAATCCCTGCAATGTGGCCATTGCCCCTGGCGGATGTTCTTTCACTTTCTCTGTCTCTCTTTTCCTGTTTCTCTAGCAAGCACATCTGTACCCTATAGCAAAATTACACACACACAAAAATGAAACCATTAAGGAAAAAAAGGCAGTAATTCAACCGAAGTTAACTTAAGCACAAGAAAAAAAGATTATATTAATTTGTTGAAGTCCAGGAGTTATGTGGACTTATTTGAGGTGGATAAAGTCCTCATCTGACTGTCTTAGTTCTGATTTCATTTTTGCCAGCTTCATTGTTGAACAACGTCCTTCAACAGAGGAAGAAATAGACATAGGAGCTAATAGAAGGCTGATAAAAACTTGTGGAGTCAAAGGAAAAGAGATTCTCTCCAGGTATCCGTATTAATCCCTGAAAAGGATGCCAGCTGGTGTTGCTGAGTTCATTTGCTCAGGGGGATAGGTTGCCCTGACTTGCCAGCTTGGGTCTGACCTACTTCTGTTGCAGAATCATTGAGTTGGGTCCCTCCTCGACTTAAAGTTTCACAGGAATTACCTGGAAAAGAGGAACGGGAGGTTTTCAAAGCTAGGAATATGGCACAATACAAACAAAAACACATGTCCACTCATACCCTTTATATGGACTAAGCAGGGGATCATTAGGGGGAAAACAGAAGGGAATTTTATACGTATTTTAAAGAATATAAATGCGTACATTAAAAAGAAGAAAAAAAAAACAAAATGAAGAGGAGCATAATTAAGTACTGAGTAGTTCAAATGAGAACATCATGTGACAGAGCAGAGGGAAGCAAAGCTCTGGATGTTTTTATACTAGCCACGTAATCTGAGGCAAACTGTTCATCTTTGAATCTCATGTCTTCATCTAGTTATTGTAGAGTAAAATGTTTCAATGTGGAGTAGAAAGTTCTTTCCAACTCTAAACTCTCCAAGTTTTTAAATAGAAATGAGTAGGCTCAACACAACTACATCTTCAGAGGCTTTAAAAAGTAGCAGTCAATCTGGCCAGCTGGTGGTATGGTGGTTAAGGTGGGTAGAACCCACATGGCTGATGGCACAGTTTGAGTCTCAGACCCTGCGGGTTAAAAAACACCAGGCACATGTGCATGGATGCCCCAAATCCCTGCAATGTGGCCATTGCCCCTGGCGGATGTTCTTTCACTTTCTCTGTCTCTCTTTTCCTGTTTCTCTAGCAAGCACATCTGTACCCTATAGCAAAATTACACACACACAAAAATGAAACCATTAAGGAAAAAAAGGCAGTAATTCAACCGAAGTTAACTTAAGCACAAGAAAAAAAGATTATATTAATTTGTTGAAGTCCAGGAGTTATGTGGACTTATTTGAGGTGGATAAAGTCCTCATCTGACTGTCTTAGTTCTGATTTCATTTTTGCCAGCTTCATTGTTGAACAACGTCCTTCAACAGAGGAAGAAATAGACATAGGAGCTAATAGAAGGCTGATAAAAACTTGTGGAGTCAAAGGAAAAGAGATTCTCTCCAGGTATCCGTATTAATCCCTGAAAAGGATGCCAGCTGGTGTTGCTGAGTTCATTTGCTCAGGGGGATAGGTTGCCCTGACTTGCCAGCTTGGGTCTGACCTACTTCTGTTGCAGAATCATTGAGTTGGGTCCCTCCTCGACTTAAAGTTTCACAGGAATTACCTGGAAAAGAGGAACGGGAGGTTTTCAAAGCTAGGAATATGGCACAATACAAACAAAAACACATGTCCACTCATACCCTTTATATGGACTAAGCAGGGGATCATTAGGGGGAAAACAGAAGGGAATTTTATACGTATTTTAAATGCCAATTGTAGGAAATTTTCTAAGTTTTTTTTAATTCAGCCATCCCAAATTAAGTGCTGTCATTAGCATCAGAAGAACAAAATCACCCTATGTATTTGGAGAAAACTGAGAACATAATTTTTAAATTGCTATTATTTTATGAAATTCTGAAGGTAGACTGAACTTCACATCTATATTGTATCAGCTGGGTGAGTTGTGTTTGGCTGTAAAGGAGATCCAGTAACTATTGACTATGGAGGTTTTAGCTGAAACATTTGTTGTTTACCATACTAATTTCACTCTGAGGGGAACAAGATTAGTTTCCTTTTTCATTTGATGGACTTTACTATGTATCTCTGCAGGTCCACTGGACCTTCTGACAGTGTAATTCATTACAAAGGAGCTAAAGGGCCACATTTCCACAGGGACATAGCAGTGATTGTCTGTCTCCTGAAGGGGCAAAGATGACTGAAAGCAGCTAGAGGATCTATAGTCGTGACCTTCCTGATGTCATCCTTCCTCCTTTTGTTGACAGCACCCTAATTTTACATTTGGACACCCTCTTTTCTGGTCTTTGTCCAGTTCTTTCGAGATCATCAATGTAAGTACTCTATACTTTGTCCCAGCCAAGCACGAGGCAAAAAATTTGAGCAAGGCTCATTAGCTGTTTTGTTTATGAAATTTTAATCTTGAGTGGAATGACACAAAGATTAGAGTTGTGATTTTCTTCAGATTTCTGATCCTCTTTC